GGGGTGGGACTGTGGTATTCCTGGCTACCATCCCTGTCCTCCTTGTTCCTGGGCTTGGGCTGGTCATTTTGGCTAGGCCATGTTGCTGCCACTAGTGCCCCTTCTAGTGCCATGTCTGTGGCCTTGAGGGGGTGGGAAGTGGTCATTCAGGCTGTGTCCCCCTTCCTGAGAAGCCTGGGCCTGGCTCTGGCTATGTGGGGTGAGCCTGCCCAGCAGGAGGTGCAGGTGGTAAATGCTTCCAGCCCCATTGGAGAGGAAGCTTCTGAGCTGAGACCTTGCTGTCTCCCCTCCCCCCACCCCGGGGCTGCAAGCCCTTGGTTTAATTTGAGGACCCCTAGAAGCTTAAGGCATAGTAAGAGATGCAGGGCACCTCTTCCTGGCTTATGAACACCTGTTTCTTAACTAAACACCTGTATGTGTCATCTGTTTAGTTTCTGCTGTTTTGCTGAGATCTCGAGATTTAAACCAATGCCCTTAGGTTTGTGTGCTTTGTGAGGGTGGAGGGAAGTCCTGGGAGGTGTTTATGTTATTTTCCCCTGATGTTTCCAGAAATAGTCTGGCTTACCTGCACCCCAGTGAGGGAGGGGTGGCCATGTGGCATTTAAGGAGGTCACATTGGGCCCCAAGGGTGCTTAGAGAGGAACCTCCAGGTTTGTGTTGCTGAGAAAACTCCAATGACTGCAGATGAGGTTGATTTCTGCCTTTATGTGCCTTTACTTTGTGCTGTATCCTGTTTGGGCTAAGACTGAGAGAAAGCCTGCTTTGGCCGGTGAATGAGAACTCTCCGTAAGTTGGAGGATGAGGGTCCAGTCTAGGCATAGCCTCAGCCTGCGTCTTTTGGAGGACACATGGAGTCTGACACTTCAAGGCACGGCAGGCGTCCTCAGAGATGGGCTCTTCAGACAGGACGGGCCTCAGGACAGCTTGATCCTGTTCTTAAAGTTGGAGGGCTTGCAGATAAGCCAAGAGCTCAGTGTCTAGGGCTGATGGGCTGCCAGCTGGGCCCCAGTGCCAGGGTTTATCCCAATGAGCAACATACTGTCCTTGCTGGCTGAGGCCGTATTCTGGTGGTTCCATTCTGAGAGTCTGGGCAGTGCTAGTGCCCAGCCAATGGCAGGAGTGAGGGCAGCTGGGTGCCAGGATGCCTTTGCTCCACAAAGGGAAGAGGCTGTGGCTTCTGCCTGCTCAGGGTGAGGCAGAAGTAGGGGTGGTATGGTCAGAAAGTGAGCTGGGTAGCCGTGGACTGACTGCATTCTCTGTGGCTGGGTCAGCCTGCCAGGTGTGGGTTGAGGGTGGGGCAGCTGGTATAGAGTCATGCAGTTCTGGCTGCTGGCTGTGGTATGTCTGTAGGGCCTGCCCCAGGCAGTCCTGAGAGCAAGGTGCTGTGCTCCCCAGGAGACCTCGGACAAAAGTGTGATTGAGCTGCAGCAGTATGCCAAGAAGAACAAGCCAAACCTGCACATCCTGAGCAAGCTACAGGAGGAGATGAAGAGGCTGGCCGAGGAGAGGGTGAGTGTGCTGGCCTTGCCAGCACCAAAGGCTCCTCCTCACTTTCATCCTCTTGCCCTCAAGGGAGGGGAAGGGGCACCTAGCAGGGCCACACTGGGCAGCTGTGGGAGGGAAGTCAGCCTCAACACTTCCAGAGTAGATGTGCTTTTCCTTGCATTTCAGCATTCATGACATTTGCATCAGATCAATTCATTTTTTTTAGTTACATTATAGTACTCTTAGCCCTGGCCTGTGGTTTTGAAGGACCCGGCTTCTGGGTGTTTCCACTCAGTACCAGCTGTTTGAAGGCAGGGGTGTTAACACTGGCCAGGCCTCCCATACTCAGGATCTCATGAGAGACAGATTGCCATCTTGGACCTCTTCTTCCTCGGGTCCTTGGCATTTCTGTGAAGGAGGAGCATGGTTTATAGAACATTGAACCTGGGTAACGCTCAGTCCTGGTGAAGCTTCCTAAAACAACTTACCTGAGGGGCTTCTAAGCTAGGACTTTGTGAAGCCCCCTGGGGTGGGCCGGAGGGCGCAGTGGAAGTCTGTTGTCTGTCTGGTCTTTCTGGCCTAGGAGATGCCTCACACTCCTGCCAAGTTGGGGTGGGGGGAGAGAACCGCCCATGTGGCTTGTCCCTGGGGGCTGTAGCTTCTTTGGCGCTTCACTTCTGGGTGTGTGTTCTGATTCCCAGGGAAGCACCAGCACAGAGCTCTCTGAGATGGCCTCCAGGGAGACGCAGCCAGCCCCTTATCTGGTCCACTCCTCAGGCCTTCCCTTCTTCCCATGTGGTACCGCAGAGCAGTGGTGCTCTCCTACACCAGAGGCTACATGGCACCTGTGTGCTGAGCTCACCACCTCACCTATCCACCCCGCCTCAGGAGCTTCTTGGCTGAAGTTGGGCTTGGTCACATGTTCCCACTTTGTTGGCATCCCTGACCTTTGTTGTTCTTTCAGGAGGAGACGCGAAAGAAACCCAAGATGTCCATTATGGCATCTGCCCAGCCTGGTGGCGAGCCCCTGTGCACTGTGGACGTGTGAGGGAGGCAGCAGGGTCAGGTGCGGGGACTGCCAGCTCTGCTGCCAGGGAGACCCCGCGCCACTTACTCTGCAGCTTTTGGCCTCCGATCTGAGTTCCTCCCCTGCGGCCAAGCATCTGCAGCCAGGGCCAGAGGGGTGGGGCTCTGATACATGGGGACAGCAGGGCCACGCAGCTCTTCCTTGGGGGCCACCCACAGGTCTGAGTGGGCGTGTTCAAGGATGGACTCGGCTTGTCCACACAGGTGGAAGCCAAGAGCTTAACAAACAGTAAGTAGCTGTGGATAACCTCTGCATATGTGGACTTGCTGCAGACTGAAGGTTTTCATGAGTGTCAGTCCGTAACATGCACTGACAAATGTCAGATAAAATGAGAACGTGGTGGCGAAGTTCTGTGGCACCCTGTGCCCAGGGCTCCTGCAGGCCACTGCAGGGACCTGGTCAGAAGGTGCACGCTGGCACCCCCATCCCCTTCCCTGCCTCTTGTGTTTTCCATTTTTCTCTGAAAAGGTTGTAGCAGGAAGGAGTATTTCAGACGTTTTTGGTTTAAAATAAACACAATTTTAGAATCAGAACTATTTTTCAGAGATTATAGGCAAACCCTCAAGGTGATTATTTTCCATCCTTGAAATGCATTGCCAGTGTATGAAGTCTGCCAGTCTCTGCCCGGCTTGTTGCCCTGGTCCTGGGTTGGCGTGCAGTCCATTTTTCTGATTAAGTCTTAATGTCCTAGAAACACGCCTTCTTAGACACCGAGGCCCCTCACCTTCACTGGCCTCTGGCAACTTTTTACTAATGATTTTTGCACAGTCCAAGTCCATCTGTTCACCCATCAATTTTTAAAGCTTTTATGAAATTTTAGCATTTGGAAAGAAACTTTTACAGTGAGAGTAGAAGGTAGATTTGGAGTCACGTAGCAGATATAAACAAGTTAATGCATTTTAGCACGAGGATTTTAAAAGAGGAAATAAGGACCCTCAGTGCAATCCATCTGTGATCACAAAGTGGCGCTCCTCTCCAGAGCTGGCACAAGCACATGGAGGGTAGCTGTCTTCCCTGTGATGATGGCTTCACTGGATTTGAAGGGCAGCTGTCCTGTGCAGCCAGGGCTGGTGGCCAGCCTGTTCCTTTGACCAGCAGTCTGTGTTCTCCAAGTGGCTCCTGTGGACCAGTGCAGGGATAGGGGTGTCCCTGCCCTGAGCCCCAGAGGGTGTAGTTGTGCTTGGGGCCCTGGGTTGTCACACACATGGTAGTGGTAGTCAACAATTGGTTTCCTGTCCCCAGGACCTGTTCAGGGTGCCATGTGCTCCTGGTGCACTATCAACTGCAGGAGCCCAGTGCTGGATTGCATTGTCATATTCCACGGGTGTGCCTCTTCTCCATCATGTCCCCCGTGGTTGGTGTTGATGGCATTTACTTTCAGGAAGACAGAATGTTGGGTCTTGTGTGCCACCCACAGTGTATCCCTCCCTTATCACCTATGTGACTGAGGTTGGCTTCTGTGTTGACCTTTATAAACAAAACCCTCAAATCAAGTTGCTGTAATTAGACACTTGCTTCTGTCTTGCCTCCTGTCTGCAGCTGTGAATAATCATTTGACTGTGACTGCTCTCAGAACAGCCAGATGCACCATTGTGAACCAAAGCTTTGTGCACACGTTACTAGAGGCAGCGAGCTTTGCTGCAGCCTCCCTGTGTCCTTCCTCTGTCCCTCTTGTGTGGGTGCGAGTGTTGTGTGCACAGCCATGCTGTGGGGGCAGAGGGCATGGGGGGCCTGTACTGATGCCACCTCCACATGGCCACTGCCTGTCTTGTACCTTCCAGGTGGTGGCTAAGCTGTGGCTTTAAGGGTGAGCCTTGATTGTCTGAACGCATAAAGCAAAACTGTCCCAAAAGGGAATGACTGGTGTTTGTTTCTTCTAACCGTGTGAGACTACGGGGCTTTGTGGACCTTCAGCTGGCCAGTACCTCCCCCTTCAGCTTGCCCCACAGGACTGAGGCATTTGCTTGGGCACACTCCTGCAACATCTGAGCAGAGTCCCAGCCTGGCCTTTGGTCATTACAGAAGTGGTCTCCCTTCAGGGCTCAGGGCCAGATTAGGGATGGAACCCCCCCTCAGGGGGTACAGGAATAGTGGGGCAGCCTGCTGGGCTGACCTGCAGTATAGATAGGCCAGACCCCCTGCCATGTCTCCTCCACTCTACGTGCAGAATTGGCCCTGAGCCATGAGCTCCATTTCTGCTTCTCTTAGGGTTAAGCATGAGCCCTGGCAGTGTTAGCACACTCTTCTGACTTCCAGCCATGTGGGAGGGCTGGCAGCATGCTAGTGGGAGCTGGGGACTCAGGCTTAGTCTTGGCATGGTGCTCAAGGTACCCTGCTGGTCTCACCATCCTCCCCCTGCCCCCCGAACCTGCAGTGGGGGAGAAAGGAGCCCCACCTGCCAACCTTGAATGCTCATCAGTCACACCAATATTTCAGCAATGGTTTATTCTGACCCTGTGCCCCAGGGGGCCCAAAAGGAACTTGGGGGAAGAGTGGGGGTGGGGAACAGGAGCCTAGGGTCCATGGGAACAGGGTGACCCTGGTTGGGGCATTTGGGTCTCATACTCTCTAGGTGCTGCCTGAGCATCCTGAATTGAGGCAAGGACTTGGGGAGCCCCATGGCTTGTGCCCTTGATGAAGACTGGGCCCTATTCTGAAAGGGCAAGTTTCTGGTATTCTAGGGAGCTAGGAAGAGGTGGCAGCCCCAGTTACCTGCAGGGTATCATCTAGGGGCCCTGGTAGGGGGTGAGTTGGAGGGTCTTGGGGCTCCACGGCCCCTGTGCCATTGGGGTACTCCACCCTCTCAAACAGGATGAGCATCTCACAATGTGGGGTCTGCGGGAACAGGTCCACAGCCACAGCCTTGACAGGCCGGAAGGGGGTGCCCTTCACCCGATTCGATGGGGCCCTGCAGAGGCTGAGGTGAGAAAGGAGTGTCAAGATCAACCATATGGATCTGGCCAGGGGCTCCTGTGGGGGAAGGGGAGGTTGCATGCTGGACCCCAATCCACCCCCAGGTCCCTCCACCTCACACTCACTCCACAAAGTTGCCCATGGCTGCCCGGGGGTTGCAAGAGACATACAGGAGCCGTTTGAGGTTCTCAGCTCTTCGGACAGCCAGGATCACTTTGGAATCTGAGGAGGCCCAGATTTGGACAGGCATCAGGTCCGAGGCTACGCAGCTTGGTGTGCCATCCCGACATCCCTGCCCACTGCTTTCCCCTTAACAGTCCCCAAATGGAGACCACTTACGCAGGCCAGCACGGGGAGGGTCCAGGATGGCAACGAGCTGCTGGGAGGCCAGTCTGTTCACCAGAGCGGGCACCAGGTCCTCGGCTCTTCCACAGTGGAACTCAACATTGCTCAATTCTGGACATGGCACGACAGCCAGTCAGGGGACCAAGGACACTCTTCCCCCACAGGGCTTGCCTGGTGTCCTGAGGTCCCTGGCCAGAGATGCATTAGGAAAGCCTGTTGTCCAGGGAGCCTCAGGTACCCTGGGCACATGTTAATCAAGTCAATATAATGCAGTAGGAGCCCTCCTGTACTCTGCCCTCACCCTACCATCGGCCCTAAAAACTACCTGGTGGGTCTCAGGTGCTGTGCTGAGGTATGCAGCAGAGGCATCTGCTGCCCACCTGCTTTGTGGGGTGTTGGCTCTCACCATTGTCTTGGGCATTCACCCGGGCATCTTCCACAGCCTCTTGGCACAGCTCAATCCCCACAACTCTCTTTACCTTCTGAAACCAGGAAATGACAGACTCAGCATCCTGCCCCATCCTGTGGGCTTCTTAGGGAGGGGAACAGCAGGAGGCATTTGGAAAATGGAAGAAAATCTGCAACAGGCTAGTTAACGTTAGTCTTCAGGCTGGGGATCACGGAGGATCAGGAGGCAGATGGCAACATCGGTGGGTGGGGAGGGTACCCTCAGGCAGGGCAGGAGGGCTCACCGGGGCCAGTGCCAGGCCAATGGTGCCAGTGCCACAGCACACATCTAGCACTGTGGTCCCTGTGTCCAGCTGGGCCCAGTCCTGGATGACTGTGTAGAGCACCTCAGCTGCCAGGGTGTTTACCTGGAGGGTGGAAGAGCAGTGTCAAGGATGTCAGGGGAGCCCTGCTGCTCAAGTTGGCCTCCCTCCCTCCCACCCCCACCCCCTACCAAGCACGTGCATTCCCTGGGCATTCTTCCTGCCTTGGGGCCTCTGTGGCCCAATTCCCAGCTTGCTCACTTTCTTCCTACGTCTCCCTATCCTCCCTTCCCCTCCATCTAACCATCGGAGAGCAGAAACCCAGTCCTTAGACTGACCCTCAATCCCATGAGGTTGCCTGGCAACCTCACTCAGCCTCCTAGCTTTTAAAAGCAATTTGAGGCTGATACCACCACCCCTCAATCATGAAGTTCTTTTCTGAGTGTTAGAGCTCACACTAGAGCCCTGGCATAACTTCCACTTCTGTTCCCACACCCCACATATGGCCCTCCAAAAGGTTGTCAAAGAATCCAACGGCAAATGAGCTGTTATCTACCATATGATCCTTGTCACTCCCCTGCCTGGACATTTGCCCTAGGTCTTGCCAGGCTAACCCTTTGTCACCGCCCTAGCCCACTGTCTACATCGCACCCTGACATCATGTCAGGCCTCCCTCCATGTGTCCTCACGATCCCCAGAAATTGGACTACCTGGAAGAAGGCGTGAGGGGAGATCCGGAAGGTCAACCCCAGCAGGTCCTCATGGATGCATCGGTCTCCAGCCACGTGCTCCAGGGGCAGGCCCTCCTGACTGGGAGTCTTTCTGTGGACGGTGGGGTAGGTCTATCAGTATCAGGTAGGTCCCCTGCAGGGACCCGCCCCACCCCTACCCAGGCTCCTCACCGCTGTCCCTCCTCTACAAAGTAGAGGCAGGTCACCCCAGTGGCCTTGCCTGGCCCTGCCATGAAGTGCTGTGCCAAGGCGGCCTTCAGCCCAGCCAGTTCCTCAGGGCTCAGCTTCTGGGTAAGCAGTAGAAAAGGCCTTGTAAAGTTGCATCACAACTCACTGTGGCCCAGATACCCTCCCCCACCCAGCAGGGCCTCCTCGCCTGAGACCTGAGGGTGGAAGTAGACAATGGCCATGGCTTGGCCACGGCGGCTGGTGCGCACAGTCAGCTGTTTCCAGTGGCCTGAGTATGTCTCTGGGTTGTACGCTGAGTATGGAGTGGACCTGTGGGAGCCATGACCGGCCCTGAGTCCCCAGTATCTGCCAACCAGGACTGAGCAAGCAGCCCCCCCTGCTCACCCCTCTAGGCTCACCCACCAGATCACAATCCCAGGATACACCAGGCAGGCCCTCTGCTCCCAGACCACCACAGGGCTTCTTGGGGCCCCCAGCCCAGCCATAAGCCCTCACCGAATGAACTCCTGGAAAGCCTTCACCACCTGCTTGGTGGCCCCAGGGATGTGCACGGTGTCAAAGGGGGCTGCCACAGCACATGTCCCGCCCTTGTACTTGCCAAGCCGACAGCCAACTGTGTTGTCCTCCCCGTCCACCCCGACGCCAACCAGAAACTCACACTTGTTACGATATTCGGTCTGCAGGGAGGGTAGGGGGAGGCAGAGACATGCCTAACCTTACCCTGGCCATCCAGCAGGACACAACAGCTCACCAAGTGAGAGATGGTGGTGAGCAAGAGACTCTAGTTCCCCCACAGAGCCTGGCAGTCCAGGAGATGGGCCTGACAACAAGTAACAGTCAAGTGAGATATACCAAGAATAAACGCAAAGCACGAGAAGGGATGGCAAAGACAAGTGAGAAGAGCTCCTTTAAGAACATGAGGTGAGTTTCTGGCTGCACCAGCCAGGCCTGACCTGCTGGGGTGATGGCCTAACCCCCTCCAGGGGACAGCAGGCCTTGTTGTGCTTGTGCCTCTGTGAGAGCAGCCAAGGCAGCAGGGCGCGGTTGGTGCTCCCAATTTCCCTGCAGGATGAGGTGGGGCCAAGGTTGGACTCAGCCCACTGCCTCTGCAACCCTCCCCAGCCACTCTCCAAATACCCAGGTCTCCAGGGCCCCTCCCTCAGAACCTCAGTGTTCCCATTGGTTACATATGGGTCACACTGGCTAGCAACCCAAGACCATGCAGGCCCTGAGGATGTCTGTACAGGGCCCAGGATGGCTGAACAAGCATAGAGCTGAGCAAAGTTCCAGGGCCAAGGGGGTGATCTCCACCCACACTCACTTGGCCAGCTTCTGCAGCACCTGCTCGCACTCCAGCCGTTTCCGCTCAAGCTGCTCAGTGTAGGGCACAGTCCAAAGTGGGGTCACGACATCTGCGATGCATGTGGCCGCTGGCTCACCCTCATCCTCATGCCGCCTCTTTCTGGCCATGGGATCAGCCTTGGGTCGGGCCAGGCGCACGCTGAGTGGACGGCCCTTCCAGAGGGCACCGTGCAGCACGCGCAGGGCCTTGTCCCGCTCAGCGGCACTGCGGAATGTCACAAAGGCGCAGGGAGGTTGCCCAAAGAGTTTGGTCTTATGAGGCTGCAGGCCAAAGCGGCCCAGAAAGCGTCGGACATCACTGAAGCTGGCGTGGCGGGGCACGTTCTGCAGCTCCAACTTGAAGATCTCCGAGGTAAACAAATCGTCCCTGATGTAGCTGTAGAGCCCAGGCCGAGGTACAGACTCTGCAGCTGCCCCAGCCCCACCTTCCTCCTCCTTCTCTTCCTCCTGAGGAGCTAGGGCTGCAGGGCTGCCCTGGGCACTGCTGCTGTCCTGGACGCAGCCCTCCATGGGCACAGGGCCCTGTGGAGACAGGCAGGGGCTGGGCTGTGGGCTGCACCCTAGAACCTGAACGCGACAGTTCCCTAGCCCCACACCCAGACCTCCATTAGTGAACCCTACGCCCAGCCTCACCCCCATTCCCTTCTTCCCTCTTCCAACTCACCTCCCATCCCACTTTTCTCCCAACCGCTTCCTACTCCGCCTCCATCTCCATCCCCTCCCATAAGGTCTCCCATCAGAATCTCCCTCCACTTTACTTCATTGTCGGGTTTATCACTCATCGTACGGTCCTCCGCTGCCAGGACTGGGGGATTCCACGAGGTCCGCCTCCGCCACCTGGTCCTGGACCTGGCAAAGGGAGACAGGCACTCAGAGGGCGGGTGCCACGCCGCGAGATCTATTCCCGGCTCCACCCCGGACGGGGGTGGGACGCGAACCCTCCGTGCTCAGGTTCGGGTCTCCAGCATGGGGTGCGCCGCCTGCCCGCCAGGGGCCTGCGCCAGCCGCTCACCTAGCCGGCAGCGATCCCGCAGCCAGCGCGTGCAGCCGAGGCCGCGCGTCTCTATCATCCTGGCTTCCGGTGACATCATCACCACGCGTCAACTCCTATCGCCAGCCCCTTTCCCGAGCTCAAGGGGCGCGCGCTGCGGTGAGGCGGAAGCGCGCGCGAGGGCCGCCGGGAGTACACGCTCCCCTGGCTGCCGGGCGGGCCAGGCATGCGCCACGGGCGTTTTGGCGGGAAGCGCGGGGCGGGCTGGACAATGAGAGTGTCCGCCGTGTGAGCCAATAAAGCTGCACGGGTTTTGAATCGCGTCGCGTTTCCCGCCGCCGGGGTCAGGGGTCGGGGTTCGGGTCGCGGGGCGGAGGGAAGAGCGGGAGGGCGGGAGGCGCCGGCGCCAGACGCGGAGGGAAGGAGCTACGACTAGCCGCCGAGAGGCCGCGGAGCCAGCGACGACCGAGCCAGCCGAGCCGCCGCCGCCGCCGCGCCCCCATGGCGGCCGCCAAGGTGCGGCCGGGGCTGGGGTGGGGACTGGGCGGGGGCCGGGAGGCTGAGGCCGCTATCGGCGGCCACGTGGGCGGCCCGCGCAGCCGTCGCCAACCCCCGCTGGCCTGTGGGCTCGGCTCCTGTGGGGCCTCAGTGGCGCGGGGTCCGGGCTTTGGGGAGCGCGGCCTGGGGGTTCGAGGCCTTCGGAGCCAGGGCGCGCGATGCCTTGGGGGCGCGGGCTCGGGGGCTGCCAGTCGCCCGCGTGACCTTGGGGCGGTCCCAAGTGGGGCCGGGAAGCTCCATCCAGGCGTGGGGCGGCCCGCCGCCCAGCCTCTTCGGTCTCGAGTTTACTTCACCGTTCGCCTGAGAAGTGAGGCTGGTGGCGGGTTTCCCCTGGCTCGGCCCACTTGCAGGCTTCTCACCAAAATCGTGCGTCCCTTCCTCCCGTCGCCTACGCAGCACTTCATTCATTCTGTTCTCACGTCTTGAGCCGCCACAGGCCTCTGCGGCGGAAACTCAAGTTCCAGCCTGGTGGACGGGTCTTGGCCGAACCGACCCAGGGTGGGGGCGGCTTTGTTGACTGCGGGCATCTGCTCGGGTGAGCTGACCCTGGTGGAGGCGTAGTCTTTATCCAATCGAGGAGAGCAACAAAAGCTTGTATATTTTCTTTTTTGGCTCGAGTCTGGTAGGGAAGTCTCCCAGCTTGTGGATTTATGGATCACCATGCCACGTGTTCTGTGAGACTTGAACATCAAATATGATCTTGAACCTCAAATATGATCTTTTGTGCCCTGTAGTTTTCTAAACTGCATCAAAATCTTAGGGCTCTTTGAGCGAATTCTGTTGACGCATCAACTTTCTGATTTAAAATCAAATTGTTGACAGAACTGTGAATTCCGTGTAAACAGTAGCCCTCCCCTTCCTTTCTACTAAGTAAGAGCTCAGATTATTTTCAACTAGTAAAAACCTAAACGGTCGCTTTTTAAAGAGTTACACTCTCTTTGAGATCCTCTTCTGTCATTGCATCTTGATTACTTGGCCTCATGATTATTCACATTTTACAGATGAGGAAACTGAGGTTCAAAGTGATGAGGCAGTTTCTTATCTGCCGGTAAGTGGCTCAGCTTAGGAGTCCCAGTCAGTCTGTGCACAGATATGATTGATGGATCTGGGGAGGGTGCTTTAATTCAGTATCTTACTGCACTCTGATTGTGTATGCAAACCCTTCCTTGCGTGAAAGGCCTAATCTCTTGTTTTGGGATGAGGCCGTTCTCTAGGAGGGGTGCCCACTGCTGAGCTCTGTGTAAGGGGCAGACTCCAGGGCCAGCAGTCACCTCTCTGCACCTCACTCCCCACAGGACACCCATGAGGACCATGATACCTCCACCGAGAATGCAGATGAGTCCAACCACGACCCCCAGTTTGAACCTATAGTTTCTCTTCCTGAGCAAGAAATTAAAACGCTGGAAGAAGATGAAGAAGAGCTTTTTAAAATGTAAGTAAGCTCATGTTGTTCCAGAAAAATGTATCTTTTTTTTTCAATGTTTATTTGTGTTTGAGAGAGAGACCGCAAGCCAGCAGGGGAGGGGCAGAGAGAGATGGAGACACAGAATCCGTAGCAGGCTCCAGGCTCTGAGCTGTCAGCACAGAGCCCGACCCAGGGCTTGAACCCATGCACCATGAGATCATGTCTTGAGCCGAAGTCAGATGCTTAACCGACTGAGCCACCCATGCGCCCCAAGAAACGTATCTTTAATGTAAGATTGAAGTTAGTTTTTATGGGTGTCAGTGTCTTGGCCTGACCTTAAATCGGACTGAGGCTAAAGAAAGGGCTTGGGATTATGTGATGGCTAATTCTACATGGAAAATCAGGGCTGCTAGGGGTGCCTGGGTGGCTCAGTCGGTTAAGCACCCGACTTTGGCTCAGGTCATGATCTCTCGGTTCGTGGGTTTGAGCCCTGCATCAGGCTCTGTGCTGACAGCTAGCTCAGAGCCTGGAGCCTGCTTCAGATTCTGTATCTCCCTCTCTGTCTGACCCTCCCCTGCTCACGCTGTGTGTGTGTGTGTCTCTCTCTCTCTTGGAAAATCAGGGCTGCTGTTAGAATCCACTCATTGGATAACTTTTCACTGGGTGCCCCTGTTTCTGGGTGGCCAGTGCCGTGGAGAGCACAGGTGCCTCTGGTGTCTTGTCCCTGCTGCTCTGCCCGCCAAGGTGCATCTCCACAGCCTCCTGTTCCTGTCACCTTACAGGCTTGCTACCTCCAAGACTCCCATGGCCTCCTTTCTCTGATTGAACAGGAGTCTCTACCATTATTATTATTTTTCTGTTGCACCCCAGACTTCAGCATCCTGAAGTTTATGAACTCCCAATTCAGTGTTTTTAATGCACAAAAATAATTCCTAGAATTACACATGAAAATGGATGGTGTTACGCTTACTGAGGTTACTTTCTAAAAATTATCCTACATATATTTGACACTTTCAGTGAGAGGCTATAACAGCAAGTGTCGTATTTAAGTAGCACTGGCACCAGCCATGTGTTGAAATGTCTGCAACAAAATCCACACTGCTGAGACTGACCTATTGCCTATACTCAGAATCACAGGAAACCCGAGGCTTAGTCACAAGTTAATGGAAACAGCCTGGAGTGTTTTTCCTGTCCCAAGTAGAATTCCCCCACCTGCTTCAGATTCTATCCAAGAAGCCAGATGAGGGTTTGAGTACTTTGCTATGAGTGAGGAAGCAGGACAGTGATCCCTCCCTCTAAGGAAGGCAGGCTGGGGAGGCCTGGGGAAGGAGAGTCACATACATCCTTTTGGTCTCAGAGTGGTTGGGTGAGTCCCTGAAGATATTGGTTCTCCACGTCTCTGTTTTGCCCAGAAATGGTGCTGCAGCCAGGGACTGGCTCATCCCAGGAGCTGGTGCTGCTGTTCTCACCCTCCTCAGCCCTCAGAACTGCTCTTGGTGTCCTGGACACAGGCCTTTCCTGAGGGAAGTGAGGCCAGCAGGTCAGGGCCCTTGGGCTCCAGGTGAAAACTCGGGGGCATTCTTGTGAGGGCACTGTCTCCCTTAACAGAATTGAGTTTAGGAGAGAGAACAGAGTGTGGTGCAGGAAATGGACCAGCAAGGCTGGGGTCCTGTGGGTAAGGAAATGGAGGCCATCAGCCTAAAGTCCTAAAGGCCCGACTGCTGGGCTCACACGGGGGCCCAGCTGGGTGGGGCTTTGGCTGGTCTCAGTGTGAGGTGCTACTCTGGGCAGGAAGGCAGGTTGTTGGGTCAGAGCCTGGTGGCCTGAACAGACAGGTCTGCAGTCCCCTCTCTGGGCTGGGGAGCCTGGGAAGCACAGGGGGCATTTCATAGCAAAGGGAAGGGCTGACTCTGTAAGGGCAGGGGTCCTCAACCTCCACCTGCTTCCATGTTACCCCTGTGGGGACACCGGAGGCTCCCCTGCACTGTGATCAGAGCCCAGCATTCTCAGGGGGTGTCTGTTGGAGAAGGTGGGTCTTTTTTTTTTTTTTTTTTAATGTTTACTTCTGAGAGAGAGAAGGTAGGTCTTTCTGTTGGAAAATTCTGTGGTTGTAGAATTTTCTTTTCTTTTTCACTTCATTATTCCAAGTAAACACTTGGAATGTTGCCTTGCTTTTTTGGTAAGTTTTCAACTTAACAGTTCTAGAGGTACAAAGAAAGGAAGGGGCATCCATGGAGGCTCCAGGCACAGCTATTTGTTTAATGCACAGAAAATAAGTGTTGTTTACCAGCAAATGTTTGACTGTTTATTCCTTCTCCACGCACATTTAAGCTGTCTTGTAATGGCTTTTCTTGAAGGCGGGCAAAGCTATTCCGATTTGCTTCAGAGAACGATCTCCCAGAATGGAAGGAACGAGGCACCGGTGATGTCAAGCTTCTGAAGCATAAGGAGAAGGGGACCATCCGCCTCCTCATGAGGAGGGACAAGACCCTGAAGATATGCGCCAACCACTACAGTAGGTGGCCTCTTGGGAGCATGGTTTCACTCTGAGTCCCACCACCGCACATGAGGATACCGTGAGATCTTTGGGCAGCTTGCTTTCAGTGCCGGGCTAAGAATCTGAGAGTGCATTATGATGTAGAGTGCATATTTGCGGCATGTTGAACTTAAAATAGGAAGTGAAGTTTTCCAACACACCCTGAACTCCAAGCAGACCTGCAGAGAAGCTTATGGCATATGAGGTGTGGAGCCCAAGCAGACAGGACATGATGGGGTGGATGCAGAGCCCCAGTGTGGGCTTGGGATGCAGCGCTTGCCCAAGAACTGGGCAGTGCTGTGAGGATGTGTGCTCCCATTTGTATTTGATGTGCCCGGTAGGCAGCCTTCCCACTCTTTGGTGTGTTCTGTCCCTGCCAGGTGTTCCCTGGGGAGGACACAGAAGGGGAGGGGTGTGGAGAGAAGGCGGCTGCCTCATCCTCGGGTGTCTGTGAGACCAAACAGGTAGTGAGTGGTGACAGGTTGAGGCCCTTGGGCAGGTGTGATGCCCTAACCCTGATCTCAGTATGGTTGAGGGAGGTGGGAGGGTCTGGGGAAAGCCTCACCAGGCCTGGTCTGTAAGTCCCAGTCACATCAGTC